CACACTGGACCTTTAAAACCCACAAATACACCTTCTAATGGATATCAAAACAGGAAAAGTGCACAATATGGGACCTTTAATGAATTCATTATGAACTGTGACCCATCTTTGTTTTGAATAATGTATGTTTATGCAAATATGAATACAATCATTTGAAAAACATATTACATAAGAGAAGTTTTTCTCTGGGCCATAGAGAGCTCCTATATCCAGTCAGCCTGTACAGTATTGTCTGTACACACTTTTAGTATGTGTCCATAGCTGACCCTTCTGTCACAGTATCTGTTGGGTCGCAGGTTTGCTCGTTACACCTGTGGCTTCTACTCCAGGTCACGTGAGTGGCGTGAAACCTGCGCGTCCCAACAGGTAATAATAGCTCAACTTAAAAATAAAACGACAGCGGATGAACACTATTGACGCTACAACAACAAACACACACACACACCTGAGTAACTCCGTAGTGTTATTGGATACATTACGCACGTGGATAACAATAAAGAGTCACGGCTAACAACGGAGCTCATTCAAGGTATAAAAAACCTCACCTCCTGTTTCCCCTCTCGACTAATTATTTCTCCATCAGCCATAACAGCATTAAGTATAATCCTCTGGCAGCGTTTGAGTCTGGTGTAGTTGTAAATGTCTCTTTTAACAACAGATACTTACATTGTCAAACAGTGAGCCGACGTTTGCGGTGACCAGCAGCACATCAGTGTATGTTTCCATGTTAACGATCCACCTTTCCACCAAACACACAAAAAAACACACACACTCACACACACACTCTCACACACACTCACACACACACTCACACACACACTCACACAGCTAGAGGAAACTCCGCCGCCGTCGTCAAAATGACGCGCGCTCAGCCGGGCCTGTAAACACGCGACTCTTCCAGGAGCTTAACGAGGCTTTATCTACAAATCTCACTCATTTACCGCCGCTCAAAATACACCAGCATCTCTTCTTCCCCCCCTCCTCATCCTCCTCCTCCTCCCCAACTAATGATACCCAGTCTCTTCTGGTTGTTTATTGATGGCGCGGTGTCAGGTCGTCATCATAGGAGCCGGAACCGCGCGCATATCCATCGTCGAGCTCGAGGAGCGGCGGGTTTGAGTTTAATGGCCCCAACATGCGTGGCTTTCCGCCTCCTCTCGGTTAATTGGACTAGTGGCGTCTTAGCGGACTTAAACCAGCCTGGACGGCGCATCTGCTGCAGGGCTCGACAAACCGGACCGAGCAGTTATACCGACGGCGTTTGGGTAAACTCCGCCTCCGCCTCGTTCTGCGGCGGGCAGTCAATTACAGGCTTCCTTATGTGAAGTTTATGAGAGTCAGCGTCGTGGCCATCCCTCCTCAGTGTAACCTCCTCTGAACATAATCCCATAATATTTGAGTGATATGGAAACCTGTGTGTAGGGCATGGCCTGTGTGGCAAACAATGTTTGGTTTATCCATTTTTATTTATTTTTAACCCCCCAAAACAACCCTATAGTGTATTAAATACGTTACTGTTACAATAATAACCTGTAAGATTACATAAAATACCTTAATGTATAACTATAGCTATCTAAGGACATCAGAAAAATACCTGAAAGGACTCAACTCGCCACTCAACATACCATAGGCTCATTCTGTTGTAGTCTCAACAGGAAGTTAGTCATTTTCTCTCTGTGAAACTTTTCTTTCAATGAAATATTCTCTCACCGAGGAGTTTGCTTTCACTGCAGTTGAGCTGTTTTACAACCGGCGAACCCGAGGGTCTTATCTTTATGTGACCTTTTCCTTGGGCGTGTGTGTGCATCAGTTTATCACTGGCACTTTTTACCTACATTGCAACAGCTGCACAGACACTTCTCTTTTATAAAGTCCTGCACCAGCAGAAGCAGGTACTGTACAGTATTATACATATTTTGTGTGTGTGTGTGTGTGTGTGTGTGAACCACAGTTTAGTCATTTTCTCTAGAACAGCCCGCCTTGCACAACTTCCAGTCATCACAAGAGCAGTCTAACCACAACATTTTACAACACAGCTACAGTAGCTCTCTCTATACCCAGTGAACCATAGGGCTGTTAAACTCTTATTTGAAGTAGAAGATGGATCTGTGCCATCCCGCAGTCTGAGCTCCAGCACCAGGGTAAAGCAAAGACTGCTGGGGGCCTGACTCTGGCTCTCCATAGTGCTGTCAGGGAGCTGTTCAACCATGGCATGATTTATACAGCCAACCTTTTGAGGTCCCTGCTTCCTCTTACTCCTCCTCCGAGCACTGTGTCCTTTATTCACCAACGTCAACAGATCCATTTAAAACTGTTGCAACCAGAGATGCAAAAGAATGCTGCCTTGTCCATCACCGGTTTGGAAACAAAGACGGTTAAAGGGGAAACCTCTCTGAATGGGGACTGAGGCTGTTTGTTGCAGCCAGGAGGAAAGGCTTGGGTTTTGGATGAAGCCGCTGCAAAGAAATCAACAATAAAACATCCACGGAAAGACATTTAGACTTGATCCAGAGTACATAGTCGGCTAGGGAATAAATACTAAATATATGATGTTCAAAATGAAGCGCTCAATCCCCATGCTGACTGTCTTATAGCAGCCTAGTGCCCACTGTGCTATAAATCAGCAACTGTTCTGGCTGAGTCCTGGCTTGCCTGCCAAGAATAGCAAAGAAAAGCAACAGCCCTAATTAAGGCAGTATTGTTTGGAGGGAAAACCTTATATTCTAGAAATAGCAAATAAAGAAATGCTTTGATTTTGGGAAATATTTACCAGTAAAAGAAAAAAAGAACTCTTGGGCTGAAATGGAAGTGGCAAACGCTCTGAATAAGATTTATTATTATGTGTGATTTACAGTGCATGCCAAATATTTAACATTGGGACACAATTTGAATCTATTTAGACCACCGTTACCATTGGAGGTCAGTTGCCTGGTTGTAGGTTTTTTGCCATCTTTTAAAAAAACTTTTGCCCAGAGTGCAAAGGATTTTAGTGGCATCCAGCGGTGTGGTTGCAGATGGCAACACCCTCCTTCACCCTCCCCTTCCGAGTGTGAAGGAGAAACTACAAAAAAAAAATGGAAATGGAAAACGCGAACAGCCCTGTCTAGAGCCAGTGTTTGGTTTGTCTCTTCTGGGCTACTGTAAAAGCATGGCGGCCTCCATGGAAGGCGACCTGTGATGATGTCTGCAGATACAAAAGGCTCATTCTAAGGTAATGAAAAATTCCTATATTCAGGTGATTGTACACTAATGAAAACATGATTATTCATATTATATTCAATTTCTGCCAATAGAACCTCCTAAAAGTTACACACTGGACCTTTAAATGCAACAGTAAACTGCATATGCATAGAAATATATATATGTATATATTGAAGACAGAAATGTCTTTCAAATACGTTTAAAAATAAGTTTAAAACCCCTTTGTAATCGACAGTTAAGAAGCACAGAAACTTGAAGTCAGATGTAGAGTCACATTCTTGAACATTTATTTTGATGAACAGATTTGACAGTCTAAACGACTATCCCTGATAACAGCAAATTAGATGGATGAGAGCCTCAGGGAGAAACCTCCTGAAAGCTGCCCACCATGTTCCTCAACTCCAGCCTAACGGAGAGTCCAAACTACAGCTGCACTCTGTCTCTCCTTTAAACCTCTCTGAAGAGGCTGCCAAGTAGGAGAAAGTTTGTTGATGAAATTTAAAATAAATTAGGCAAGATGGTCACTGCTCAAGCAGGAAGGCAATGAAAACATGATGCCTGTTAGGAGGTGTATTAGTATGGACATGTATCAACTAATTGTCATTATAACTATGTTTTAGTCAGGTGACCAGTTGTGATGGTCGTTATCTTACATCACTAGCTGTGCCATGGGCCTTAATGCTAAAAGCATCTCAAATAAATTCTTAATGAATGGACTATAAAACCCTTTTACTCCAGTTATGCTGCGTTATTAGCTGGAACATTAGTATCTGCCTCAATCCATAAACCTCCATCAGACAAACTGGGTGCACAATTTCCACTTCATAATGTGAGGATTTACACATTCTGTGGAAAAACACAGAAACGGACAACATATCGAGAGCTCATCTGCAATGTAATTCCTATAGTGACCAGATGTGTTGATACAAGTCTTAATGTAAAACACAAAGTTTAAAATACAAGATTTTTTTTCTCTTGGAAAAAGCCCATAAAAATATCTGAAATGTAACAAAATCTGGCATTGTGCCATAAATCACGGGCACGAGAGCCAGTCATGCAAAACCCAAACTCAGGTTTCAGCTTTAAAACAAACTAGTTTTCTTTTTTTTAAATCTACAGTAACTCTACATCCCAGGTATAATCAGGTTTGTAACTTTCCCACAGCATCATACAAACATGACAGTAAAATGAAAATTAAAAAGTTAAAACTATCCAACAAAGACAGGAACTCAATGATAGATAATAATACAAGTTTTCCCTCAAAAGACTGCCACCAAGGAAGACAATGCTCCTGTACTGTGTGCACCCTACTTTCATTATAATGCAAGCAAGGCTTCAGTCGAGCTTTTCCAACAAAAGGGCAGCAGACTCAGAATGACCCGTAACAGCGATGCAAACTGAACAAGCCAAGCTGAGGCAGTGACCAAGGAAGCCAAATGGAGTACTGTTGACATCAGAGAGGGAATTTTCCAGTCCAGGAGCACCAGTAGGGAGGAAGAGAGCCCTGCTGACTGCTTATTTAGTCAGAGGCGCCCTAGTGGGTCTCTGAGCCAGTCCACGTCTACACAGGTCCTTCAGGAGCGACTCCGGTCCTCTTGGGTGCCCACCAGCATTTTACTGTACAGTTTCTGCTGCTCTTCTTTAAAGGTATCTTTTACCTTTCCTCGTTTCAGCCCTCCGTCCCTACAAAGGAGTTAAAAATAAAGTATTGATGGAGTGGACGATTATGCTGTTCAACCATGTTCTATTGCTGATCAGGTTTCACCCAAAGCAGTGAAATGCAGACTAAATACACTGCATCACAAGTGTGCTGTTTACACTGCAACAGAGTTGATATGCAGTAGTTACACTGAGCTGACCGGAAAAATAGAAACCCCAGTACACTGCAATACAATCCTTTTTGAAAATCTTTTACTTAACACTAACTAAAGTGTTTATTTCTTTACATTTACTAAATTGTAGGACACATTAAATTAATCTCAAACTGCAGTTGGTGGAGTTACACTGAACAGCATAGGCCTCTTTGCATCATTTCTGACTTCTTACTGCAAAAGTGCAGGTGTAACTGATAATGTTAATGATGGTACTGATTGATTTAGGTGCCAGTAAGCAAACATGCACAACAGCAGGGCCATGAAACCAGCACACTAAGTATATATCTACCTATGATATTGTAAGCTTTTTTATTGTACATATAAGAATATTGGACTGAATAAAAGTACAATAAAGCTTAAATTATCATTTGTGATAGCAGATATTAGCTGTGCCTGTAGTACCCTATAATATGGTAAAGAAAGGCAGTGACATTAAGTTGCACCACTGTGCTAAAACTCTGTATAGTAAACAAATCTGGTCTATTTCTTGCATTTAGCAGCAGTGTGTATGGGAGTCTGTAAGAACAGGAACAGTAAGGGATTGACCTTTTTCATAACAGGGATTTTAACATGCCACAACAGGAAAAGCACCAGTGGAACCAATAACATTACCGATGGCTCTGTTGTATTAAGAGGCAGAATAAGCCACTGCAGGGAGTGAGTGTACATGATAGAGGCCATTTCACAGGATCGCCTGGAACTGAATACAGTTGTTATTAATGTTATTTATTACACCAGTGCTATTCCTGCTATGCTATGTCAAAAAATCAGCTGTGAAATAACCATGACAGCAGTCTAGTATGAATGGCCACCCACGTGTTGAGGGTTTATTGTCCCTTGTCAGTCATAAGGTTTTGTATGTGAGAGCGGTAGAAAGCATTGAGCTTACCACAGGAGGTCCACCAGTCCACCTTGCCTGGCTATGGCTGCCTTTACACGGTTGGCAAACTGTACAGCATCCTCACCCTCCTGTTGGAGGAAATTGATACACACACAATATAACGCAGGCAAACAAGTGGTCATAACAAATAATTAACAGCTTAGCTATTATGGCTGTACGAGCTTTACACCCAACCAAAGTGGTATGACTTCATGAATGTACAGACAAAAAAGAGAAGCTCTGTGGTAAAATAAAAGTTGGGTTTCCCAGTATGTTTTAAAATCATTGTACTTGAGCTGTCACATAGTGTGTTTGTTGTCACTGTGAACTTATCGTCAGTCCGGGAACTTTCACTGTTTGTGGCCAATCGACAAACAGTTACCTAACTTTGTAGTTAAATGCAGCTCTCTTACTCAATTGTTCTTACTCCACTATTACCAATAATTCAGTGTTCAATCTTGGTGTGAGAGGCAACACCAATGGTCAGGCTGATAATCTTAATCTTTAAATCTTACTGAATTTTAAGTTTTGAATTTGGGTTGGGCAATTTCGTCTTTTTTTTTTTGTGGCAGGTTTGTCATTTTATTTAGCTAATTTAAGTGTCTGCCTCTGAAGAAACGAGCCGCTCAGTGACAGACTTCCAACAGCGCAGTACACACACTGAGCTGCTGAACGAGTGGGAGCAGCCAGCTGTAATGCTAGTGTATTTTTCACATCTAACTGCGCTGAATTATGGATTTACTTCAACTAGTTTGACCACAGGGAATATCGTTCCAAGGTGATTCACAGAGGCTCCAAACAAGACTGTAACTCTGGGGAAGATGAGGACACAGCAGGGACAGTCCAGCAGAGGAGAGGCATGAAGTGGGTAGAGGAGCGAGGGACGGTTTGGTGACTTTTATTTTGTTTGTGTCGACTTTGAATGAAGTGTGTTTTAAGATTGCTTAACAAGTTCATAGTTTGGTATAAGAGAGAAACTTGAATTTAGAAGGTGTAGGGTTGTATGTGTCTCTTTAATGTGGAAAATGAATGTTTTTCTTTAACTTTCTTGACATTTAGGGAGTTTATTAAAGCTATTAGAACTTGTTAGTTAGACAGTGAACTCATTGCTCACCTCCCATCTGAAACTACTGGGGTGGTGATAAGGGGGTCTGGGGGCGCTGCCGCACACACAGTGGCAGGTTGGACATTTTGAACATATCGGCCAACCTTTGTTGAATGCAACAAAACCATATATCTACTATTGCTTGTTTAATTCAAATAAAAAAACTCACCTCTCTAGACATGGGAGGAAGGTACCACACACTGCAAACGATGGCCCAGCTGCTCATCATACGTAACAGGTAGTTCACCATTCCAAACTTGCTGCTATTCCAGAAGGCGTCCCCAAATCGGGGATCATACTGAATGAAACACCAGAATGACTAATCAATACCTGTATTACTTTGAACAAACTGTTGATAAAAAAAAGGTTTAAAATGATTGAAATGTGAATTAAAAAAAAGACACACTCACCTTAATGGCCACAGGATAGACTGTGGCACCAATCTCAAAACTGCCCTTCTTAAACATCATAACTGATGTGTTGTTGATGCAGGTACCTGGGGATTTAGAGTAAAGATAAATGTAGGCTTATGGGGTTTCAAAAACAAAAAAAACTAGAGAACTATAGTGCGATTATGAAGTCTTCCTATCTGTACCAGATCCCTGAACAAGCTCACCTTCTGGGAAAATGAGGATGGGTAGTTTAGTTTTATCTTCTATGTGGTCACTCAATCTGCAATACAAGAAGTATTAAGATTATAACTAAAAATTGACATTTTTAGACTTTTCTTTAGATTACACAAAAAACAGCTACATTTTTTCAAGTTACACAAACATTGTAGGGAAAAAAAGAAAGGTTGAAATACTACCTTTTGGCCACTAGATGTCTGTCTTTCACTTCTGAGCGTTCAAACCAAACATGTGGACAGGCCTTGACCATGGATCTCTGAATGACCCCGATTAAGCCACCATGAATTTGACCAACCTGACACAAACAAACATATAACAAACAAAAAATAAGCAACAAATCTATTTTGGGGAGACCAGCAGTTTTAACAGTCAAGCAGCTACCAAGGAAAAAGTGACCGGCGTCAATGTTTTGTGTAACGTCCTGGTTGGCAGTGGTATAGTTACCATAGCATAGCAGCCATCACTAGCCAAGATGATGACATCAATGGGCGAGGTGTGGTTGGCGACACAGATTCCCCCATTCTTGGGTTTATTCTCACTGAGAAAATGGAGATAGGAGATAAGACTGTTAATCTATGCATGCATCATTGAGGCACTTCCTGGAGGATTTATTATCAAGAAATGAAATCATGTTGAGTGTGGTAGCGAGTGTCAAAATACACGTTTGGTGCACAATATGACAGTGAGGAGGTCAACCAGAAGTTAAAGCCAGTCTTCATAGAAATTTGGATACCATTTGGGCCAGAAACAAAGCAACCCTATGGTGGATCTGTTAAAGCTTTGACCCCCAGTGCACGCAGGACTTAAATATACCGAGTCTGCATTCCAAAGATAGAGTTGCAATCTTAAATAGAGGGGGAGCGCAACACTTCCTATGTCACTTGTGTATTTTTAGCACCAGACTAGAGTGGAATACGTGTTACAACAAGCTACGCCTAGATGGCAGACATTCAGCAAGACAAGAAATGTTCCAGCTCTTTGTCTCACCTGTGAGTATCTGTATCAGTTAATACGTTTCCCCCCCGGTGAATTAAAAGATAGAAATGATCCCACTTAAGCACGTCATTACTAAAATTACTTCCCTAACTCTAATTTAACACAGTATTGACATAATCTTAGATTTTGTTGGGGGGGGATTGAACTCGGGCCACTGTGGTAAGGACTCAGGCTCTGTACTTGGGGCACACACTCTACCAGGTGAGCTACCATGACAAGTAAAATCTTAATATTCACCTAAATAGAAATTATTTACATTCAAAAATATGAATCTTCCACATTCTCAAAGTCAGATGGCCTTTTCAATCGTTACATCTGAATTTCAGCCAAGCCTGCACTACAGAAAACTACACCAGCTGTTATAAACTGCAACTGAATAGCAAATACACAAAGCATCAACTTCCTCCTCCACATCCTGTTGCATGTGCCACCCTCTCTATAAAACCTGTCAATAGTTTCATGTTCCTCTTAGATTCTTACTCTGCCAATTTTAAATGCAGTGTCCTCTTCATCCTCACTACCAACGTCCACTTTTATTATTACACTATTACACTATTATTATACTATTACCGGTGCCCAATTTTAGATCAATTCAGGACAGTGAAACTTTTGCTTGCAAGATAGCTGTGTGAATTCAGCAGCTCCAATCACTGTTTAAGAGACTACTGGAGCTTGATTGAGCATGCTTTGGCTTTATGTGTGAGAAAGCATTATTGACTAGGGTTTTGTGCTTCCCATAGGTTCATATACCTGCTGCGATGAATATGAATGTAGACAATCTAGCATCAGGCACCCTCCCTGTCCATACTTGCTCTCACATTTCAACTGGTAACACACCCTTGTTTCTGTTCTCTAAAGATAACTCATCTGTCATTACGTAATCTCACACAGACCCCTCTCCTGTCATGGCAATAGGTCTGCAGCAGATCATGTTTGAGAAAGAAGAAGAATGGGACCATGTGAACAAGAGGAGCAGCATTTGTTTTTTTAAGATTATATCCCTCTGGATTCACATCTATGATAACTTTAAATAAAAAATTTAATTGTTATTATCTTCTGCTTAATGTCATGGCATTTGGAAAGCTATAAACATGATATCTCTTGAAATGTCTGTTACCTTGTATAAAAATATGTACCATTGACACTATCTTTTTGTTTGCCAAATGTAGTTACTTCCTACTTCAGTGATGAATCAACAATGACACTGCTAAACTGACTTTTTAGGTACAGGTTTAAACCATGTGCTAGAGATGCTACTGCATGTGATTAATTGTTAAAATAATAATAAAAAAAAAACAAATCACACAACACATCTATCAATATTTCTGAATTGAAATAGGTTGTCAAGACTCACTTTACAAAAGCACAAAATAAATTGAGAAACTAAGCAAGAAGTTGAGAAACAGCATGGAAACACAGCCGTGCTAAAAACATAAAAGCAATAAACCAGCAGCAGCAGCTCTCATGCTAACCTTTATGAAAACAGCTAGTGGGGATGATAAGGAGCTTACACTCTAAACAAATCAATTGCAATTTGTCAGGCAAAATGCCTACTGGGGAAACGGTAATGCAGCCTTAAGATTAAGAACTGAGCCAAAATGGGTGTATTTAAAACTTTCAAGTTTGTGAAAAACTACCTGCAGTAACAAATATACAGGATTTAGAATTATGTTTTCAGAATTAGGCTAGTATATAATCACTACTGTCCCTCCTGCTGCTATGAACAGCACTGTGTGTAATGTCAAAGTGTTTGTGTCCCAACCGCCAGTGTGTGTGGGTTACTGAAACCAGTCTGGCTGCTATGGGTCTTTCATCATTGATTGTTGTTTTGCTTCAACTATTTCTTTCATCACCACGAGTCATGTTCATCTGACCTAGACTGAATTAAATATTCACACAGTCTCCGTGACGTCAGCCAGTGAAGAGCCGGTGTGAAGCTCAGTGTGGTCGGCTCTGGCCATCGCCATCTTGGCCGTGACTGACTAAACCACAGTGTCCTTATCTATCTTAACTACTTTACCAGGAAGTTTACTGTTGCTGTGTGATAACTTAGCTGTCTATGAAGAGTCAAAAACTACGTGGAATGGGTTCATGCCCAATGAAAGTTACATAACTTATAGAGGTGTGGCATAACAGTGCAGGTCCTTTACCTGTCATGGTAGGTTATAATGGCAGTCAGAGCTCTGACACATATTCTGTAGCACATCAAATGGACGTTCTCACTCAGAAAGTTTTTAATCCTGCAAGAAGGAGAATACAACAGAGGGATTTACTTATAAGTGTCAAGTTGGCACATCCAGGTATCGGAGCTGATATTTTTGATAAATGAAAACAGACGAGCTTGTCGTCAGTCTTACCTTCCATTCGGCAGCAGCCCGACAACAGACGTGAGGACCACAAGGAGGCCTACACCAGTGAAGGCAAGGGTTACCCTGGTGGAGAGGCAGACAGACAGGCAGTTTACACATAATCCTCCGACAGAGGATCTTACAACAGAGCACTTGTGTAAACCACAGAAAGGAAGGATTCCATGTTTTGGTTTAACAAATTAAATTCAAGGTACACACAAAGTCTGTACTACAAGCTTTCACTGAGGAAGAGTAACCACTCAGATAACACATGAAGGTCATGAGTAAGGCCATCCAGGGGAACAGGGTTCTTGTTATTAATTAAAAGTATCCCTGTTTCCCCTACCCCCCCACTGTCAGTGATAATAGACTCCAGAACCTGCAGGAGGGCGTATTAGGCAATATTTAAGACGTCCAACTGGTCAGCTTAATCAGGATGAACCAATCATCCAGGGTTGGAGAAGGTGCTGATTAAATTGGACGAGGATTAGACGAACAGAGAGGTGAAGGGTTCATGCAAGTGAGTGAGTCGGAGCAATATTCAACCAGACAAGTACTGAATGAGAGAATCTATTAGCTGGATGGGAAGCTAGAATGATGTCTGTCTGTGTACTTGCGGTGGCCTGATTTGTCTCCCCACTGGCAGTTGGAAACGAGCCAACCAGGCTTAGTACTGAGTCACTGTCTCTGTCCCTCTCTAAGCTGACCCTAAATGAGGATCTCCCTCTCTAACTCACTGTACGGGCCAACATTTAATGTTACTTCTGTGTTCTGGAGCAGCCTCCAAACCCCACGCAGTGTGCCGAACTTTAATGATTAATTCTTCAATAAGGCTGTCTGCTGTCTCTTTAGGTGTCAGGCTCATGTTATTACACAGCGTGCCTTCAAGTTCATTAACTTCAACAAAGGATATTTTAATATCTTCTTAACCACAATTATAATTTGGGATGTTCCCATTAAGTTTTTTTTTTTGTTGCCCCGATCTGATTATAGTCATTTAATATTGAGTACGTGCCAATACCGAGTCCCGATCCAACACTTGTCTTAAGAGGAGTTTCTCTCTCCGGTGTTAGTTGCTTCATGTAGCCTTTGCCTGAATTACCTGAATGAACTGTATTCTGTTGTGTGTTTATTTCATGCATGCATGCATTTTGCATGAATTACTACAATAAAATACTCTTCTGGGTAATTTGGCCTTCTTAACAGGGCTTTTGTTGCACTTGTAGTGGTGTGGTGAGTGTGGTTGTGTCGACTCTATCTACTGCTGTTTGCCTCTCCTCCTTGAGTGTGAAGGAGAGATCAATAGACAGCAGAGTTGGAGAGCTGACGACAGCTGCGCTTGTTATGTTACTGTGCATGAAAGCTTTACAAGTAAAAACAGCTGTGTGTATTTAAAAATGCCTTGATCGGCTCGGATACTGATCTCTGGACATCCCTAATAACAATGGAAATTAAGCACAATGTCATAATCCTCCAAACCCCTGGGCATCCTGGACTACCCACCATGCTCATTTGGCACATTTTCTACTTCAGCTGTGACCCCTCAAATAGAGTGACACCACCTCACTGGCTGGATTTGTATTTGATGAGAGAGCTACTTGCCAGTGTAAACATTTTGTAACATTGTGTAAATATACCAACCACAGTATTAACCAACAAACTTTCTTTGACTAAGAAATCTTGGATGAAAATGAATGCTGCACAAATATTCTCTTATTTCATCAATTTTCGATGATGACAAACAGACTGTTACTACAGCTACCCTTGTTCTAAAAAACACTTGGTTTGATCCTGAAGTTTAGTGTATGCCTACTTCCCCCCCCCCACACAGGCAAATAATCAGGAATCAATAAAGAATCTGACTGAAAAGCAGAATCGATAATGGCATTGGTATCAATAAAATCTTATAAGTTCCCATCCTTATACTAGTTTCAGTGTCAAAGTCAAATTTTATTATGTTATTCTGGTGGTCATTTGTGCAGAAGAGGCTACATTTCCACTCCAGTCTCTGTCTCACTGCAGGGATAAACACTAATATCTTTAAGCACTGGCCCCATTGGCCAAGTAGATACATTGTGCTATAATACTTTTACCTTTGTAAGGTTTACGATGCAGAATTTCTGCTCGTAGTTGAGTATTTTCAGTGTGGTTGTTTTTGTATTTATTTTATATAAGTAATGGACCCTCAGCCTAACTGCACTTGTTACTGGTTGAGACTTAAAGGTTGTCCTGTGGGTAACCTGGGTGGGTTTGTTGTGGGAAGTGGTGCGCGAAGGGTAGTTGGTTAGCCACGAAGTGTGACGATAAATTCATGTCAGTATGGTTACTGAAAGGCTGTGTGTTGTGTTTACTGCCACAGAAAAAACATAAAACATCCTGGTTTATGTAACATTACGATAGCGTCTTTTTGTACTCTGACTGTTGGAAGCTAGCTAGCTAGTTACGTAGTTGGCAAACTAACTTTACAAGTCAGGCTGAAGTCAAACTAAACTAAAACTGGAGGTCTCCCAAACACATTTTGGAGCTGTAGAGCTGGAAGCTGCAGGTAGGATATCATATCGATCAGAAAAATTAAAAAAATTTACGTTAGCTGCTAACTAGCTAGCTGAGTCCAAACCAACTTGTCTGTAAAGAGTAGAAGACAGCACAGTGACATAATGCAAACACAACACACAGCCTTTCAGTAATTATACTGCAACCTGAGCTCGCAATATGGGGATAAACCCTGCAGGCCACAGGGGGCTACCTACCTGGAATATCTCTGGCCACAGAGTAAATATCTGTGGCCATGGGGCTAATGTCGAACCCTGCAGGGTGTTCAGTTCTCAACAGCCTATTCTTCTACTGGAGGTAAAGCTAATACCTGAGAGGCAGCAGGAAGCCGTAGCGGATCAGCAGGCCCAGCCCCCATAGGACGGTCAGCCTCAAGCTGATGTAGTGGAAGTTGTTGTTGCTGCGGGTCAGCAGATTCCAGGACTCCAACTCCTCAGCAGAGAACCGCTTGGTCACCTCATCGTCCATGATGCTCTCCACTCCTCGCCGAGCAAAATAAAAGATGTCAGACATCTCGAACTCAGGGGCTGAGTCCAGGTCTCTGTTGCTGCCGCTCCGCCGGATCTCCTTGATCTCCTCCTCCAAAGAGGTGGGCTCCTTGGCAATGATAGCTGGAGCAGTCCACAGAGACAGAACATCAGCAATAACAAATATAAACACTGAACATGCTGGACAACACACTGAGCACATCTTACCATTCGAGTAGGGTTTGTACAAGGGGTGATTCATTTCTTTTGCTCCTCTCTCTATCCTAAGTGTGGCCCACTGCAAAGAAGGAACAAAAGGTGCATAAAAATTAAATACAGTTACTTCACGTTACTTCACTAACAAATTAAGCAATAACATAGATGTGCTCATACTGTAAGTGTTGAACACACCGCCATAAATGTATCCCTGACGACATGCAAAATGTTCCTGTAGCAACCAGCTACCACTATTTGCAAACCTCATTGTGAAACTCACTCAACAGAGCAAGTTCTCTTTATTATGATGATCAGTCACAAGTGCTTCGTTGTTTTCTAATGGCAATCTCTCTAGTCTGAGTGTGGATGTCGAGGATGTCAACAGTGTGGGTGCACAACTTTAACAAAGTTGAGGAAACAAGATGGGACTCCTCAGAAGGTAACACTTGTGGTTTATCTGTGACCAACACCTTGTTATAAGAAACTAACATCACAATGCCCACCTCTCCCTCTTCAGTATGTAGAATTGTATGTGCACTCTGCATGCTGAGACAACAACAAGTGTGTGTGTCCAGAGAGAAGCAGGAAAAGGGACACAGTGTTCTAGCTTGAAGACAATCAGGAAAGATCAGTAAATTACTGCTGCGGATAAGTTTCACTTTGCCAACGGTCTCAGACGACAGCACATCCTAGGTTAGGGTGCATCAATCATTGATAGGGAATAAACCTAACAAAGCTGATTGTAAGTATACTCAGACACCGTAATGGTGGGCACGCATGTTAAATGTACACCAGAAACACTAGAGTTAGGAGCAGTTGCAAATAACTTTGAGGAATGTGATGTGATGTTGCCTGCAGCTCATGCTGGGAAAAACCCCATACACCTCAAAAACAGGTGATTTACATATTTCTACTTTACATTAACTGAGGGCTTTCTGCAAAATAAAACCCGTTTGGTCTTTACCCTGTTTTGCCTCTGACATTCATGACAGCCAACTTAAAAATACAGACATTTTCCCCAACTTTCTAAAAAGCAGACTATTTGAAGATTGAAGATTTTTAGCCTACGGCAGTGACGTCCACTTGACTGATCTCTGCTCGTCACCATTACTCAAACAGAAAAGGGCACACACATTAGTAACCTATCTAGCGTTCCTTTTGCTTTATTTTACAGCCACCTTTAAATCGTGTCATGACAAGTTGTGTTACTCAGTGTATTAAAATGCAGCTGACAGTAAAGCTTCCTTGGGTGGAGAGAGGAGGAGCAGAGAGAGCTGCTCCTTATACTGAGAGAACAGGGACAAACTAGAGAGGGTCCATCACGCCAGCATGTGGCTCCAGAGCTGCCTGTGGAAGAGGTTTCTTACTTATTTATCCCCTATGAAGTATTACAGGCGTGGGATTACAGCACTAACACCTTCCACTGTGACTGACACACTGATGGGACTAACGCAAACTGTCTTTAAGCAACACGTTGCAAAAGTAAAAACGCCACTGTAGCTCTTGAACTCAAACTCATTAACACCCACGATGAACGTTCAATTATTTAATCCAACAAGCCTGAAATAGAGACTTGTGCAAGTAATGAGACGCATGCAATAATAATCTTGTCAATAACAATGTGCAATAATCAATGGACAATAATTACTGTGCAATCTATTGCCCATGCTAGTGTGTGGTGTTATCTGTTGTGGTTTTTTACTGTTTTTTTCCTCTCTTGTACAGTGTTTTATATTATATTAATATTATATATATTTATTTTTCATACCTGTTCTTATATTGGTTTTTTTCTCTATCACTTTGCGCTGCTGTAAAATTGGAATTTCCCATTGTGGGACTATTAAAGGAATATCTTCTCTTATCTTAAATAGTGCAAACCATGAAACATCACTTGAGCTTGCACAGTCCACACTGTCCATCGTCCTTTGATCTATTCTTTAAATCTACTGGTTGCTACTGGAATCAGGAGCTGAAAAACATCTCTCCCAAAACCGTTCCCACTGGTCCATTTATTTCTGGCGAGGATCTGCTCTCGGGGCACATGCTGGAAGTGATGACAGCTTTACTAGTGAAGATACACCAGAGATAGCAGAAGAGCTGAAACTGGATAAGTGTGTCTGGAGTCAAACAGGGCGGAGGAGAGCTTGTGATACACTGAGCATCTTGAAGTAGCCAAAAATGAGAGGGAAAGCTGGCAATCCGGCAAGGCAACCAGTTACGGTTACTGACGAGGTCTGTGCCAGCCGTTTTCTCCGGTTACATAACAAGAGGACAAGCAGCTATGTGCTGTGATTGTTAATCCTGTATCAGCCAGTGAATACAATGGCCACCGGCTTGGATGCTAAGAAGCAAGCCATGAAAGCGCACCTGACCAATTCCCTGAGAATATATTCATACTATTCTATAACTGCTATTACGGTGGAAATAAACGTATTGTGTTTGATTGAAAGGAGGGAAAAGCAAATACAGGTTTTCCTAGAAGAACAGAGCCAACAACCTTTACAAACCTGTGTCCATTAACAGGGTGTTTATGTGGTGCATCTGAACACACTTCACACAATATCTCATATGTTGTAGTGTATAAGCAGTGTTTTTGCTCGATGTTCGAACACACTCGCTTAGAGCCCTCTCACCGTGAACGAGATCTTGTAACAACGGTTTCATGTAAAGACGCGCGATGCCAAAGGACCACTCCCGAAGATGGCCGGCAGCGATGAATGAAGACCAGGCAGCAGGGTGAACACACGGTGAAGAGATGCCAGCAGGATTACAGCAGCCAGGTTGTCAAAAGGGTTGAAGAAACAGGGCTCCATGTTGGAAGATCAGGAAGGTTGAAGAACTGCGTTAAACGGCTGAAATCAGAGCGGGCAGAGCGTGATGGAAAGAGGAGGTACAGGCTCATACCACCATCCTGGCCCAGAAGATGCATTCAACTTTTGTCAGAAAGGCCGTCCATCAGGTAACTATATGGGACGGAGCCTTCTCCTTGCGCTGAACAGAGCAATAAAATACAAGTACAAGATGATCATCTTTGAGCGTTGCCCCCCTTGGGCAATATCGTGAATTTCATTATTATTCACCATCCCATCTGGGGGGTTTCAGAAGAAACTCGGTTGAATTCAATTCCAGGAAAAAGGGAAGTGCCTGTGTCGAAATAAAGGCAAGGAGCCTTGCTGCAGAAATGACTATTCGAGGGCAAAGCCTCAGCGCGCTGGTGGAAAGAGATGATAAACAAATGAAACACAGCAGAGTGGTTGGCCTTGTCTTTGAAGGTTGGGGGGGGGGGATCCAAGGAGAGAGAGGCAGCAGGCAGGCAGGCAAGGAGAGGAAGGGCTCTGGCAGCTTCAGCGTGTCCTGCAAACAGACACAAACAGTGAGGATGAGCGCAGGTCAGCAGTAACACCGGAGCTTGCGTTGGCATGTGGATGGACAACGCAGGGAAAACTGGTAAAAACAAGTTAACGCTCGGCCACTGAAAAACAAACAGCGCATGCATCCCCTTCCCAATAAAAGGAGGCAGACAAGTTTAATATGTTAATGTGTCAACCAGAGATAACGTTTACAGGCCCTCCTCGCCCTCCTCTCCCGCAAGCAGCTTCTGATGATGGAGCAGGAAGGCTAACAAGAGCCTCCATTCTCCCCCCCTCTTCCCCAGTAACACACCACACTTGAGTTAGCTTCAGTAAAGTTAACTTTCGTCCCCCACCTTTTACAAAAAAGCCATTTAATCCACGCACCGACCTCAGGGAGCTTGCAAGGTTGAAACACACAGTTAGCTGCGTGGAGCTAACGCTACGTTTGGGTCTGTCAGGCTAGTTAGCTCTCTCCCGCTCAGCCCGGGGTGGTTCACATTAAACGCTGAGCACAACGCTTCTTCCTTTTCTTTCTCTTTCTG